CTGTAGTCCCAGCTACTTGGGAGGCTGAGGCAAGAGAATTGCTTAAGCCCAAGAGTTGGAGGTTGCTGTGAGCTGTGATGCGACGGCACTCTACCAAGGCTGATAAAGTGAGACTCTGTCTCAGTTAAAAAAAAAATACTTCTGATTATTATTGGAGTTTTCAAGTTAATAAATTTTTGCTGTCGTCATTTTAAGGGCAAACCTGAAATTTCTCTGTTCTGATGCATGAGTCAGTCCATCCACAGGAGTTCTGACAGTTGAGTTATTTCAAATGAGAAACTTATAAAAAAAGTGGTACCTTTCTATAAGACTGAGGCAGGAGTTGGAGAACAGCCTGAGCAAAGAGCAAGACCTCACTTCTACTAAAAATAGACTAGCCCGGTGTTGTGGCCGGTGCCTGGAGTCCCAACTACTTGGGAACTTGAGGCATGAGGATCACTTGAGTCCAAGAATTTGTTGATGAAGCCATGGTCCTCAACCCCAGGACAACATAGTGAGACTCTGTCTCATTAAAAAAAAAAAAAAAAAAGGCTGAGCACAGTGGCTCATGCCTGTAATCCTAGCACTCTAGGAGGCCAAGGTGGGTGAATTGCCTGAGTTCAGGAGTTAAGACCAGCTGGAGCAAGAGCCAGACCCTGTCTCTAAAAATAGCTCAGCATTGTGGTGAGCACCTGTAGTCCTAGCTACCTGGGAGGCTGAGGCAAGAGGATCTCTTGAGCCCAAGAGTCTGAGGTTGCTGTGAGCTATGCTGCGAGGACACTCTACCCATTTGGACAAAGTGAGACTTTGTCTCAAAACAAAAAGAGTTAACCCTTTGGATCCAGCCTTGGAATTGGGGCCCTTTGTTCACACCAAATCAGACTGGGAAATTAAAGTCTTCAGATGTATTGGGGATGGTGTGTTTTTTCTTTACTTTTACTTTATCCAAACTGAAGAAGTACAAAACAGTGTACAACTATATGTACTCAACATCTTGATGTAAAGTATCAATTTGCTGTATTTATACATAACCACTGCATTATCACACTTGTTTCCTATCATCTAATACCCAGCCCATATTCAGTTTTTTCCCAAATAATTTTTTTGTTTTGTTTTGTTTTGGGGTTTTTTTGAGATAGAATCTCACTTTGTCACCCTAGGTAGAGTGCTATGGCATCATAGCTCACAGCAACCTCAGTCTCCTGGGCTCAAGCAATTCTGTCTTTGCCTCCTGAGTACCTGGGACTACAGGCACCCACCACAATGCCCAGCTATTTTTTTAGAGATGGGCTCTGGCTGTTGCTCAGGCTAGTCCTGAAGTCACAAGCTCAAGCAGTCTACCTGCCTTGGCCTCCCAGAGTGCTAGGATTACAGGTAGGAGCCACCGCGCCTGGCCCAAATATTCTTGAAATATGTTTGTAGTTTTTAGTAAATCAGAATCCAAATAAAATCCATCTGTTGCCATTATGTCTAAATGTATTTTAATGTAAACAATTCTGTTTCCCCCTATTTTCTTCACTATTGACTTACTGAAGAGTTTGTGGTCTAGAATCCCTGACTCCTTTGGGGTTTGATTGCTTCATAGTGTTAGCATAGTCCTCCAACTTCTGTCTTCCTGCAAACTGAAAGTTTATGTGTATAGGTGCCATTTGATTTTTGTAGCAGAACATCTTAGATGATGCAGAATAATTCATATTTTCATCATTTAAGGATGCACACGGTTTGACTCTTAGTGACGTTAAGATTGATCAGTGGATTCAGGTTTCAAGTCCATAAGTCAGTAAACAGATAATGTTTTGACAATTCTGGATTAAATTTTAAATGAATGTCTTGAGGTAATATTTGTTGATATGAAAAGTCCCGTATTTTCTATTGGAAAGTTTTTCACTTATTCGAGAGCATTTGGAAGGTATTAAGAGCTTCCTCTGTGCCAGGCACTGTGAGATGCAGGGAGATGGTACTGAACAAGGGATTTCCCTATCCTCCAGCTCAATCTCTTGGGGGAATCCTTTTCATCACTTGAAAAAGTTACTGAAGGAGATTTTTGGCTTTTTTTTTTTTTTTTTAGAGACAGTCTTACTTTATTGCCCTTGGTAGAGTGCTATGGCATCACAGCTCACAGCAACCTCCAACTCCTAGGCTTAGGTGATTCTCTTTCCTCAGCCTCCCAAGTAGCTGGGACTACAGGTGCCTGCCACAACACCTGGCTATTTTTTTGTTGCAATTTGGCCAGGGCTGGGTTTGAATCCGCCACCCTCGGTAAATGGGGCCAGCGCCCTACTCACTGCCAATTTTTGGCCTTTGTTCAGACAAATATGAGTTATGTTTTTGGCTTTTGGAGAAGGAACACCAACATTTTCTTCCATCATTCTGGTGTATGTTATCTACCTGTGATTTTCTTTTTTTTTTTTTTCTTTTTTTGGAGACAATTTCTCTTTGTCACACTTGGTAGAGTGCCGTGGCATCATAGCTCACAGCAACCTCAGTCTCCTGGGCTCAAGCGATTCTCTTGTCTCAGCTTCCTGAGTAGCTGGGACTATAGGCAGGTGCCTGCCATAATGCTCAGGGTTTTTTTTTTTTTTTTTTTAAAGACAATCTCACTATGTTGTCATTGGCAGAGTGCTGTGACGTTACAGCTCACAGCAACCTCTAACTCTTGGGCTTAAGCCATTCTCTTACCTCAGCCTC